CATGCCAATGCAACACAGAAAACAACAAAGAAGACATCAAACCCAAGAAATATTATACACAGCCTGCAAAAAAAATCAAATTGTGATAGTTAGGATTCATTATCCAAAAAAAAAAAAAAATCAAACTCAGTAGCAGCGCAGATAACACAAGAACAAACCAATAAAGCCGAGGGGAGCCTTGCGCCAAATTTTGGCCGCCTGCAGATACCCAGTAGAATCCAATGATCCACCAGATGAACGAAAACATTGTGTTTGCAGACTCCAGATGCTTTGCAATGCCGCCAGAAATGCTAAATTAAAAAAATAATAAGCTCATAAATATGTGCTATGTCATATTAAAATATGACAGAAATCACTATGTTAAACAAACCTAAGATACAATTAAAAAGCACCAATTCCCCGCCATTTCAATGAGGTTTTTTTCTAACAAATCAAAGAATAGTAGGCTGACTGAAGCATAACTTTTATTTTTTGTATTATAGCTTTATTTTCAACGGAATTACTTTCCAAATTCTCGAAAAAAAAAGGAAAAAAGGAAAAAATTTATATTGTTTTTCTATTCATTTCATGTAGAGAAAAAGTACAATAGGTCAAAGAAAATAATCAGGCCAAAAAAAAAAACACCCCACAAAAACACCACTTCCACCTCCATACAAATGCATCTTGCACCAATTAGATTAGAGCAACTTCTTTTACTTATAACAACAAAATTATTAACTCAGATGCTACGTGACTTTCTTCTGCCATTGTACATAAAAAAATTCAGTAATTTACTGAATAGTGACTCTTCCTCTTGAATTTCCAAATGATGAGGCCCACATATAAATCGAAAAAAAAAAAAAAAATCCTTCATCTCTCTACTCTCTATATTTTGAACCCCTATCAAAGTGATGACTAACACTAAAACATCAATTCCCAAAGCCAAATTAGCAAACGGATTCTCTGAATCATCCCTGACTAAAACACATTGATGTTATTCACTCCAAACTCCAATTATCAGTTATCAGTTATTCATCAATGACAACAACTATGTATCTGCCAAATTTTAACCCATGTGGAACATAAACCGCTGATCACCAGCTGCCAAAATCAATTAGCAACTATAAGCCAACAATGAGAAACTTTCAAAATTCATAAG